CCACTGAAATAACACCGCCAGAAGCACAACGATGCACGACCAGAAACGCGGGCGTGCTGCCAACCTCACAGCACACCGCACTCCGCACCCAGGAGCTCTCGCACTTTTCCAGTCCGGCACCCAGCCCCACCGAGCCCGTGCCAGCACAGGCTACTATCTGCGCGTCACTGCGCTACTTACTATTTGAAGTGATCCGCACATGCTGCACACCCATGGTGGCCGTCGGGTGAGATCTAGCGATCAGCGCGGCACCGCCCGGGACAGCCAGCTCACAGCACCTCGCACATGCCCCGCTCCGACCTGGCAGCCCGTCTGCGCCGACACTGGAGTGGAGCTGTCACTCTCCGACCCGCCCCGCTCGGCTCACCTGCGCCAACTGACGGCTGCTCTCCCGACCGCCGCTGCCGCCGCTGCCGCCGCCGCCGCGCCGCCAGCGCCGCAGCGCGGCCGCCTAGTTTGGGCATCGGCGGCCGGCCGGCCGGCGGACGGCTGGCAGGCGGCCGGCGGCGGCTGCGTGGCGGCCGCGGCAGACGGACGGGCGCCGCGCGCGCTGTCGCCGCCGCCGTCGCCGTCCGGTCGGACAGCGCCGCTGACAGCAGTGGTCAGTGGTTGCCGCTCTGCAGGGACCATCGCGCGCGGGCGCCGTCACGGGCGGCGGCGGCGGCGGCGGCGCTGGACCAGGTCACGCACCTTTTAGGGCCTGGCTGCATGCGGCCTCCGTTGAGGCCGGAGCAGGTGCGGGGCATTCCGCGCCATATCAGGTACAGACACCGGCCGCCTTACGCCGGTCGGCAGCGCCGGCCGCGGCCAACACAAACAGCGGCGCACGGCGGCCGGTTGCAAGGGTCGGCGGGTCACGCCGGTCGCCGCGGGGCAGGTCGGCGGCGAGCGGCGCCCGAGGTCACGGGGTCAGAGCGCAGTCGGCCCCGCGGCCCATTGCGCCTTGGCAGCCCGCGAGCGGCGAGCTCGTCGATGGGGCGGGAGCGACGCGGCGGCGGCGGTGGTCGACCGTGCAGGATGTGCGACACTTAAGGCGGGTCAGCGTCGGCTCGCCGATGGTCGACGCCAGGCCAGTGTTGGGCAGGCGTCGGGCACGCGCAGGAGCCATGTTGGGCAGGTGTCGGGCTGCCGTGGGGCCCACGTCGGGCACATGCAGGGGCGGTGTTGGGCAGGTGTCGGGCTGGCGTCGGGCCCACGTCGGGCCCACGCCAGGCCGCACGATGGGCCCTTGAAGCGCTGTAAGCCGGCGCTCTTCGGCGAACAGTGCGAACGAGTCGGTTGAAAGGCCCACGTTGGAGGAGGTGTAATCAGAGGGCTGGTGCAACGTCCAAGTTCCATTTGCAAGCGTCCACACCCGGAAGAAGTTGGCGGCTGCCGAGTTTACTGCGACCCTGAGATAATCATATTAGGGCGGCCGGTCGCGGAACCAAGACGCCCTGGGACATACATTTCCCACATCGTTTCTAGGTACAACAGAAGCTCCTCTTTTGGCTTACCGCCTTCCGGCACCCACGCCTTACAGAGAAGATCAAAGACCACGCCCAAACATTGCTCAATCGTTGCTTGGAAAGTGGGCCGCCTCACTGCAGAAGTATGCGCTGTACCGTGTCAGGACACCCACTCGGCACTGAGCGGCAATCAACACCTCGTCCCCAGGCACTGCACGGTACGACCCGTGCACCCTTCAGATGCACGAGCACGAGGGACCCTCCGGCACGTGCGATCTACCGCCACGTCACCGCGTGTCGGCCCAAACGGAGACGTGGCGTCAACGTCCGACGCCGAGGAACGCCTTGTGGATCCCCAACCTTCCCGAAGACAACCGCGGCCTCTCCCCATCCACGGATGACGTCTCCCGGAGGCTGCCTTTGACGTCACTGCTGACGTCATACCCGGGGACCCAGGGCCGGGCGACCTTCGGTCGCGCTGCGGCGGCCAGCTACCCTGTTACTCCCGGCACCAAATGGGACGCAGCGGGTGGCGCGGCGCCAAATTTGGCGCTCGTGCTGGCCGTCCGTCCGCACGCCCCCAGCCGCGCCGCCGCTCAGGCGTGAGAGGAGCGCGCGCAACACGGCTCGGTTTGGAGCCGGGCCAAGCCGAGCCGAGCCAGAGCCGGAGCCAGAGCCAGAGCCAGAGCCGGAGCCGGAGCCGGAGCCGGAGCCGGAGCCGGAGCCGGAGCCGGAGCGGGAGCGGGTGCTGGAGACCTTGCCGGAGCCGGAGCCGGAGACGGAGCGGGTGCTGGAGACCTTGCCGGAGCCGGAGCCGGAGATGGAGCGGGTGCTGAAGCCCTTGTCGGAGAAGGAGATGGAGATGGAGCCGGAGCCGGAGCCGGAGCCGGAGCCGGAGCGGTTGCTGGAGCCCTTGTCGGAGCCGGAGCCGGAGCCGGTGCTTGAGACCTTGCCGGAGCGGGAGCCGGAGCCCGAGCCGGAGCCGACACGCGGCGGCGCGCTTCAGCGCTCGGCTGAGCTTCCCGGCACGCTTGTAGCCGCACCGGGCATTGCTGTGGCAGCACGCCAAATATGCTACCGGTGCGGTTCAGCCGAGCACAGCGCCACTTCACCGAATGCTAATATTAGCCGTGAGTGACTCCATATGCTGCAAGTCCCAGAAATGGAACACAACGCGTCGCATCGTCACAGGGTACGTCCACTGCGCAGCGGTGCCCAAATGACGCGGTCGCCCGTACGTGCGTACGTGGACCGGACCATGGGTTGCCGTAGAGATCACACCTATCAGGAAACAGATCGGACCGATGGCGCGTCGTCCCCGCAGACGCGTCACGCTGCGATTAAATACTTTACATTCACACGCAAACGTCCCGCCAGCTGTTATCGCCGCTCTCGCAGCTCTCGTCGCGTAGCGTCACGTGTGTTTATGAAGAGTCCATCGGTCAGACGATACCGCCGACGCGCATCACCTGTGCGGCGTACACTAGTCAAACATCCGCATGAGTAATACATTACACACACGGTGCAGTATTGCGTCCTCCCTCGCTCCACAGAACAGACAGGACACAACTGCGCCTTCAGGGGCCAGGGCTGCGGTAACTACGCGTAGCACGTGCGTGTAGAGCTACGCTCACTCCCATACCGGGGTGGTCGCCACACATGAAGCGTGCGTACAGGTGTGCGCTTGCTCCGCAGCCGCACTTTGCGGAGCCGCGTATGGCCAGCCAGCACGGAGCGCACGGCGCGCGCGCTGCTCCACCGTTGCACAATCACACGGCGCACAGCCATCGCGCACGGCTCGCATGCACGGCGCGCCGCGTGCACGCGCGTCGCATGTGTCGTGCGCGTGTCGCGCCGCGCCCGCGCCGCCGTCTGGCTGCGTGCGGGCCGGGCCAGATGGCCGCCCCGTCCGCTCCCACTGACAGATCGGCGCCGGGCGGCAGCACCGCTAGCGCCGCTGTAACTGCGCCGCCGGGCCGCAGCGCGTCCCGCGCGCCCAACGCCCGCGTGGCGTCCCCTCCTGCACCAGGACGGGCATCGCAAACCCTCGCACCCGGCACTAAGTCACATGGCATGATACGCTCGCATCACTGTGCACCCCACACCCACATCGCGGTGCACCCCATACACACGCCACAGTGTACCCCGGCACTCACACAAGGAAGAACCTAAGCCTAATGCCACCACGCACGAAAACCCCGCGCGCCGGCGCATCCCACATCCACGCCTTCGAACACCCAGCAGCCCCGCCCGGGTGCACCATGCGCCCACGCCGCCGCCCGCCGCGCCCCACGCTGACGGAGCGGGGCGGGGCGGGGCGGGGCGGGGACCGGGCGGGTGGCCGGCCAGCGCGGGCCGCGTCTGCCAGCCGGCGTCACGGTCCCGTTGCGTGCATGCGTGAGTGCACACTTGTGCAACGCGCCACGGCGGCCGGGCACGCGCGCATCACCGCGTGTCGTGAGCATGAGCCGCGGCGCCACGCGAGCCCCTGCCCATGTCATCTACTGAAGGCGCTCGGCCGCAATTTGTATCACGCTTACGGCAGGTGTATTAATTGGATGTCATTATGAGTCGATACGTGAACAAATAAGCAGATGACAAAAAAGTGATTCCATCCATCAAACTGTGGGCTTGGTGCGAGCGCGGCGTTCGGTTACACATCGGCACGCGCGGGAGCTCCCGTGTCCAGGGCGCTCCTGCTCCTGCGCATGTATGCACGGGACAGTCGGCGTCTCCTAGTATCTGGACGTTATCTCCGCATTAGTGATCACGCACACTACGCTGTATCGTGTGAAAATGTGCAGTCGTATACCCGCGAGCGCGTGCCTCCGCTCCCAGATGCCGGCCGCGGAGAAACGCCGGCGACGCGCACAACACTCACGGACTGGGCGGAGTGACGTCATCGGTGTCCTCGGACTCGCTGACCGTGGCGTCCTGCAACGGAGGGGGGCGGGACGTCAGCAGAGGCGTCGGCGCTAGGCCGGACGGAAGGAGGGCCATGGCGGCGGCGATAGGCCGCGCGGAAGCAGCGCCGCGGCGCCGCCGGCTGATCCCGGCCGCCGCCGCACGAGATAGGGCGCCGGAGGCAGCGCGAGCTCGGCGTGCGGTCAGTGTGCTGTGGCGGGGCGGGACGGACGCTCTCCGCCCCCCCCCCCCCCCCACACCCACACCAGGCCGGCTGCTCCTCGACGCTACCTACTCGTCCCGTATTTTGCACGGTGTTCGGCATCTTTTCATAGAAATATGAATGATGTTTTTTCATGCATCTTTCATCATCATGAATGATGTTTTTCATGCATTTTTCGTCATCACGAATGATGTTTTTCATCATCTTACATTTTTTAATGCAAACAAAAGGTGGATAATGGGCCGCAACGAACACAGCAAGCCAGCGTTCGCAGAGGCAGTTTGGCTTAAATGGGGCAGTCGGCTGCGCCTGCAACACCAAACAAGGCGAGCCCACGCGACTACTGCCATTTCGACCGGACCTCGGGGAGGGGGGGGGGGGGGGCGCCTGGCCGCGCGATCGGCACACACGATAGCCCCCGATCAGCGCCACGTCACAGCGTTCGAAACCCGTCCTCCCGCTGGCGCGCCGCGTCTCCCGGGCCGCGGACGGCGCCGCCAGACCGGCCGTCGCCGGCGCCCTGCGGCCGGCGCCCCGGCCCCGGGCCCGCTCCAGCCGCTTGTTTTGAATGGTCCGACACGTTGGCAGCACCCCCGCCGCCGCCGCCGCCGCCGCCGGGAGCCGCCAAGTCGGCTGATGGCATCGTGGCCGCCCCAAAAGGCTGGCCAGCCGGGCCTCTGACGTATTTGTCGCGCCGCGCGCGGTCGGATCCGGGAGCCGAGCGCGGCCGCGCCGACCGGTGAGCTCGTGAGCTCATGATCAGCTGCAGGCGACGCGGGGGCGGCCGGGCCCGGGCCGACCGGCCCAATCCGCCAGCACGGCCGCTGACGGCGCAACCTTTCCAAACAAGGAAAACCGGCCAAAAATGTCGCTAAACCGGCGTCGGCGGAACCTGTGAAAAATGTGGGCACTGGAGAGCTCGCCGAGCCGGCGAGCGTGCTTTTTTGGAGCGTTGAGCCACATGACGACCTGGGAGAACGCGGCGAGTGCGGAATGTCGTGGGCGTAACAGGACAGGTCCAGTACCGGCGCCGGCAGACAGCGTGGGCCGACCTGAGCCATGAGGTCACGACCGAGGGATCTCAGCACCACAGACCGAGTCACATACGGCTGATGTCACTTGAGCGTTCCAATCGTGAGCCGTTAGTGCAAATTATGGAGGTAAACTGAGTTGGCAAATGGTTTGTGTACGGGCAGTCGCCGTGCAATTCATGCGGTAGAAGTATCTGCACTTATGCTGGGCACTGTGCGGTGACTGGCTTGCAGTGATGGAAGAGACCTTTCCAACAGCCTCGGCAGTGTGACCCGGATCTGAAGTGAATTCAGTTCCACACAAGGTCCACAGGCCCCCTGCTCAAATAAAAAAACACTGATGTAGGGGGGGGGGGACTCGACTCTACAAAAGGAAATCAATGCACTCGCTGGTCTCCAGTATCCCATGCTTGCGAGTAACAGCCTCGTGGTATTCATCCGCTCCTTAGTCCAAGGCTCATGGGTTTCTTTGGTGATACTAGACCACCGCCGTTCCGTCTACCTCTCTCCTCTGCAGGGGACCGCGGCTCTCGCGACCAACACCAGTACCTCAGCGCCCACAAGGCCCAGTCACCCGGCGTGGCGCAGACAGCACGTGGGGTGCGCTGCCCGCCACTCTGGCCCCCGGCCTGCTGCCAGCGCGCGCGACCCATTTCCACCGGGCTGCCCCCGCGGCACGGTGACGTCCGACAAGGACGGGAGCTCCGCCGTCGGCACACGCGGCGCCCGTGCAAGGTCAGCTCTCCCTCTCTCTCTCCCTGCGGACCGTGTTTGGCGATTGCGACCCGTGCGGCAATATTCACAAGCACTCAGAGCCCGCGCGGCACAATGACGCGACACAAAAGCCGGCGACGTTTGGCGCGCGGCGGCTGCGGGCGGCTGGGCATACGCCGCAGCGCTGGCGTTTCAATCGCGGGCACGGGGCGCGCGAGACGGTCCCGGCGACCTTATTTGGCGCGGACGATTCAATGAGCAAGTGGCCAAACTGGCGGGCGGTGTTCACACGCCACGCCGGCCGGACGCGAGAGCGTGAGTGTCGATTCGGTCAGGCCAAACCGCTTCGGAGCTTGCAGAGCCAACGATACGCGCGGCCGGCACAATTCACACCGGCCAACAGTCCGAAACGCCGCGCTTTGTAGCGCGCCACGAGTCTCGATAAATTCGGACAAAGGACCGACCCATTCCGCCTCGCCGACCAAACCGAGATCTTAGCAAAGTCCCAGTTTCCCAAGCGTTGCGCAATCCTGCGCGCAACGCGCGCCGCTTTAGCAACCGTCGGCCCGTGCGGCGAGGTCGCGGCGCAGCGCGGCGCGTTCCGGCGCGCGCGCGCAGCCCGCTACTCGGTCGGAACGGCGCACCGTTCGGTAAACACGGCCGGGCGCCGACAAACAAGGCGCGGGCTATCGCCGGCAGCCGCGCGCTGCGGCACAGCCCGCCGGCCAGGCGGCAGCGGTGCCGACACGGCCCCGTTCCCGGAGGCAGCTGAAACAAAAGCCGGCAGCGCCGCCCGGGCCGACGGCACATCCGCCGCTTATTGTCCGCCCGTCCACCAGCCCGCATGCGTGGAATAGGTGGAACGTGGTGCACGGCAGGGCCGAGCCCAGCCCTCCCAGCACTGGAGGCTCCAGTAACATTTTGACTCGTTTGCCTCCACGCACAGACGTTGCGCCTGTTAAATGACTACGCTTACGGCCACAGCTTCTCAGCTATCACTCCCGTTTTTCGCGGCGTTCGCGACCAGCCCCCAAGGTCTGGGCACGACGCACTCCAGATGTCGCCGGGCCGCACATGACCGGCGCCGGAGGTTGCGTCAGTAATGACCTTAGCTGTCGCACGCGCGGATAAACGATCCGAAGATGATTTCTAGAAATCACCAACATGTGGCCCCTGATTTCTTTATGGCGGCGGTAATGGCTGAATGGCGGCGGGATACGCAAATGGCGTGGCCCTCGAATGCCATAACACTTATCTCTGCGGTGGCGCTGCGCCGTCGCTGGGCCCGATGACCCGATCGAAGCCGGCGCCGGCTGCCGAGCGTCTGCAGCGGGCCGGCAAGGCACCGGTCGCAGCCGACCGTGACTGCGTTCTCGAGTGGCGATAGCAAAACGTAACGGTCTCCCGACAGGAGGCTGGCAATGAAGCGCGCCGCGTCCAAACAAGGCAGCGGGCTTCACAAAGCCGACAGCGGTCGCGCGGGCGGCGGCACGTGAAGGCGACGAGGCGCGGCGCGGCGCGGCGCTGGCACATCGGCGCCGGGTGTGAAGCGCTGCTCAGGCGCCCGTGGCGCGCGTAGCTGTACTCTCGCCGCAGGTGACGTCGCTCGACACGGCATCGACGCCGCGCCCGACTAACCACCCGGACGGCTCTGGGCCAGTGGCGCAGCGGCGCGAAGGTCAACGGGCGCGACCGCCGCCTGCGCGCGCGCGCGCGTCTCCGGCACCGGCGGCTCACCTGTGAGGACGCTCTCGCCAGTGCGAAGCTCCCACCGGAGCGGGTGGTCCGGCCGACCGCCCGGCCAGTAGCAGCCAGCTTCACACAAAGAAGACAGCGCAGCCGACCCGGCCGCGTGTCCGTGGCTGACCTGAACGCGCGGAAAACGCGAACACCGCGTCACAGGGTCGGCTCCGTGGTCCCCGTCGCAGGACGCCCGTTTTTTCGGTGCACCGGTCGCTCAGGAGCGGCCTCCGGGGACTTCCCTGAGGCGCGGCCGCCGCCACAATGGCCGGGCGTGTCGCTGCCGGCCCGCCGGCCGAACAGGCTGCAGCTGGCACACAGACCGGGCGACGCCGCCCCAGCCGGGCATGCAGACCACGTCTGCGTCGCGTCCGCCGCAGCCGGCCGGCGGCGGCAGACGCGGCTCTCGGCTGTGGAGTGGCTGTTGTTCCGACCGAGCGCTGGTCCGAGGAAGGGCAATTGCTGCCGTGTTATCCTCGAGACTAGGAAGAAGACCGGCAGAAGACGACAGTGGACTGGAGGATCCGAGCGCGGAGAGGTCGGGGCAGCCGCCGTACTGTGGTGACCAGAGCGACACGGCGCGGCCGTGGGGCCACTCCTGGACAGATTGACGGAGCGCCCTGCCGTTGCGACGGCGTTTATGACAGGACTTTGGAACCATAACTCCACTGACCATGAGTCCCCTCCCCAAGGCGTGACGTGGCTGGGACCTATATGTTACCGTTGAGGTGCATGTGAAGCGGCTTCACACGAAGGGCTTGAAATCCGAAGCCACAAAAGAGAGCCTGGCAAAAGGAGGCAGACACGGGTCGGTGTCTGAGGAGGCAGACACTGAACCTTGTCTGAGGCGGCAGACGCTGAACCGTGTTTGAGGAGGCAGACGCCGACCCGTGTTTGAGGAGGCAGACACCGACCCGTGTCTGAGGCGGCAGACACTGAACCGTGTCTGAGGAGGCAGACGCCGACCCGTGTCTGAGGAGGCAGACACCGACCCGTGTCTGAGGAGACAGACACCGACCCGTGTCGGCCGTGAAGCGATCCCGCAATCACCGCTCAGCCACGACCACGCCGCTGCGTTTCCAAACAACCGGTCCGATTACCGGCGCGCGGGCGGCGGCGGCGGCGGCGACGCTCTGGGTCGAAAGGTCAGGCCTGCACGGCCGGCCGGCCATGCGCAGCCGCCGAGCGCGGGTCGGCCGCCTCCGGAGAGGCGCGGCAGATCGCGACCGCCGGGTCACGGCGCACGCACACGGGCCGACGCCGGGGCGCCGCAGCGGGCCCGGGCTCCCACGCCAGGCCGGGCGCGCCAGCCGCCGACGCTC